ATTGATGACTAGCAGTTATAGTTACAACTTAGTATATATAATATCTTAGATAGAACATATTAAGTATTAGATTCAGGTTCTTTAGGATAGGACACCTTTGAATGATCTTTATAACACGCCGTTTACCTATGCTCTATACTTCTCTGGATTTTAGTATGTGTTTCTTGCTTGAAATTGTTTGCATTGGTTGTAGTTACATCTTATCTAGGTCATTATCCCTCATTATTTCTGGACAATATTTGATAACCATTCCTTTGTATATAGTCTTGTATTAGTTTAGAACCTTCTTATTTAGACAAAAAGGGGGAGATGTAGTGGGTAGCCATTCCAGCTTGGATCTGGAAGTTCCAACCCCATTGAGACTCTGGCAACTGTCAAGCCTACGAGGCGGGGCGAGGGGAGGCGCCTGGAGACCCGAGAGCTGGATGGGCCAGCGCTCTCTCTGGGCGCTCTCTCTGTGCCGGGACCCTGAACGGTGAAGGTGGACTGTGCAGAGCTCTGGAGAACACCGCTGGACTGTGATACACCTTCCCGAGACCCTGCGACCTACCTATTACTTAATTTGTGAGTTACGCCATTAAATAAATATCCTTTTAACTACGTGGAGTGGCCAAAATAATGTCTGTGTGCTCTCTCTCTGCACAATCCACCTTCACCATTCAGCGTCCCGGCACAGAGAGAGCGCACAGAGAGAGTGCTGGCCCATCCAGCTCTCGGGTCTCCAGGCACCTCCCCTCGCCCCGCCTCATAGGCTTGACAGTTGCCAGAGTCTCAATGGGGGTTGGAACTTCCAGATACAAGCTGGAATGGCTACCCACTACAGAAAAAGGCAAGGAAGCAGGCATCAAAAGAGCAGAAAAATAATTTATTACAGAGAACCAATTTGATCAAATAACACTATCTCAGATCTCTCTCTCTCTCTCTCTCTCTCTCTCTCTCTCTCTCTCTCTCTCTCACACACACACACACACACACACACACACACACACAATCAGGCTTTGAGAGACAGAATTGACACTATCTGAAATACAAGATACAGTGGATGAAGTTACAGGCAGATCAGGCATCACCAAAGAAAAACTCCTTAGTGAACTTGGAGGCATAACACTGAAACTGTTCAAAATGAACAGGTTAAAAAAAAGTTTTTATAAATAAAATAAAATAGGATATGTGAATAGGGAGATCGCTTCGGGGAACCCAGAAGACACGCAGTTGGAGGCCCTGAAGTCAAGGACTCTTAGACGTTCTCTGCTCACAACCCCGTTCACCTGGGAAGCTGTTCTGCAACACCAAGTTTGTAGGTGCACAGAGGAGGACTGCACCTCAGACGTCTGTGGTATCCAACCACAAAGAAATTTGTGTTAAGGAGATTTTTGCTATAAATTTATTATTTATTCAACATGAAAACACATTTCCATACTAGTGAGATGGGTATTCTTTATATTTACATAAGGAATTCAGTCTTAACTATATGTTTGATATGGCAGGATATAAATCCTACTCGTCAATAAAGCTTTACACTGATAGATCACACAAAATGCCAGTGGTACTACAGAGCCATTTCAGAAACTGTTAGAAATTCTGTCCTGATCTCAGGCTGAAGCTCATCTAATGATCTTCTTGAGAAAACCTCTCATTTCATGTGAATGTGGGTGGGTTCGTGCACATGCACACATGTAGGGCACCGTGACACATGTGTGGATGTCATTCCCTCTCTCTACTGTGTGGGGCCTGGGCATCAAACTCAGAGTTTTGGCTAGGCTGCTCTGTCCTTAGTGGCCAAACCATCTCACAGTGGCCCCCATTTTACATTTTTTTTTTTTTTTATGTAACAAGTCAGTCAGCGACTCAAATTGCAATTTTAAAAAAAAATCAAATATTCGAACTGAATTCTATCTAATGGCAGACCAGTTTGCTACTTACATGCTGAGGAATGATGGCAGGAAAGTCTTTGTTGGAACTGGGGGATTGGCTTGGTCATCTGAGCGATTCGCAGTACAAACAGGAGGCCCTGAGGTGAGATCCCCAGTGCCTAGATGAAAGACTAGGAGGGAAGGGCATGTGCCTCACCCCCCGCCCCCCCCCCCCAACCTCTGTTCTACTCTTCATCGGTATCAGCCTGCCTAGTTTATGTCTCTCTGGTATGGTAGTTTGAAGGAGATGCCCTCCATAGGTCTTGGGCATTTGAACACTTGGTCCCCAGTTGGTAGCCTTGTTTGTGAGGATTAGGAGGTGAGGCCTGATTGGAGGAAGTGTCTCACTGGGGACAGGCTTTGAGGTTTCAGAGGACTTGTACCGTTAGGTGGTAGTTCTCTCTGCTTCCTGCTTGGGGTTGAGAGGTGAAGTCTCAGCAGCTGCTACAGCTGCCCGTGGCTTGCTGCTTCCATTCTGCCATCATGGACTCGTATCCCTCTGGAGCTATGAGCCCCAAATAAACTTTCTTCTATAAGTTGCCTTTGTCATGGTGTTTCATCACAGAAAAAGAAACACAACTAAGGCATCTGGGCTCACTGGACAGCTGGTCTAGTTGAACCAGCAAGTTCAATGTTCTGTGAGAGATCTTGACTCCAACAAATAAGGTAGAAGGTAATTAAGGAAGACACCCGATGTAGACCTTTGTCCTACAAAGGTACACCCTCACACATACGTACACACTCACTTCTACTGTGCACAAAAATACATGAACAGGTATACGCACAGGCATGCTGAAAATGATTTTTGTTTCTTTAAGAGCAGAAAACTGTGTCCCATAAGTCCTTGCAGTTCACAACATACAGTAGTCTTAGATGTTTCAGGCTCTGTTCATTGGGTTTGTGTAATGCAAGGCGTATGCTGTGCAAAGTGTGTGTGTTGTGTGTTCAAGTCAAGGTCAAGGCTGCAGTGAAGTCCCACGGTGCAACACGGGCAAGTGCAGCCAGAAGTACCTCAAGTCTGTTCCGTGCTTCATTTTGGAGTAAGTTTAGGTCATTCTGTGTTCAGCAGTCTTTTACTGCTGCTGAAGTTTCATAAGCCCAGACTCAGTCACATTGTCCCATATGGGCCCACAAGCCACTGTTTCAGGGGCCAGGCCTGGAATAAAGATTTGGGGAAAAAATCCTAAAGGAGATAATGAGTAAATAAATTTTATCAAAACTGATAAAGTGATAAGAGCAAAAAAAAAAAACAAAAAACCAAAACCCTCAGATTTATAAGAAATGTAATGCAAACCATAGCAAGATGTCATAATGAGATCGCTCAAAGCCAGTGATGAAGACAATTATTATTATTATTATTATGATTATTATTATGATTATTATTATTATTTTGGTTTTTTGAGACAGGGTTTCTCTGTGTAGCTTTGGAGTCTTTCCTGGAACTCTCTCTGTAGTCCAGGGTGGCCTTGAACTCACAGAGATCTGCTGGCCTCTGGCTCCTGAGTGCTGGGATTTAAGGCGTGCGCCACCACTGCTCAGCGATGAAGACAATTCTTAAAGGCTGTCAGACACCAGGTCAGGCGGCACAGGTCTGCAAGCCCAATGCTAGGGATGCTGAGGCAGAAGGATTACAAATTCAAAGCAAACCTGGACTACATAGGAAGAACCTGTCTCAAAATGACAACAGTAATAATTATTATTAATCTTAAAATATAGAGAAGACAAAAAACAAATTATGAACAGAAAAACAATGATGAAACATACCCAGTTTTTCCTCAATAGGAATGTGACCCAGAAAACTGGAAAAATGTGTTTAAAAATCTTAAACCTAGAATTCTATCCTTAGTGGAAATGTCTTTCACAAAGTTGAAATAAGGACTTTTTTTTAGATACACGGTACTGAAAGGTTCATCAATTGTGAATCTAGACTGAAAGAGATGAGAGAAGCCCTTCAGGCAGATGACCGCAGCTGGAAACTGCACAGACTTGTGAAGAGCACCCACTATGATAGCAGGCATGTAACTAGCAACCCAACTATCCATGAGGTACCCAGACTAAATATCACTTCTGGCTATGCCAGTGAGGGTGTTTCCAAATGAGATGAACACTGAAATCCACTGACTCAGCCATTAGATGGCTTTCCCCATTGTGGGTGGGCAACTTGCTTCTGTTCAGGGTTGAGCAGATAAAAGAGAGAGAAAGAGAGAACTCTTCTCATTGACTTCCTGCTTGCCTGATAGAAATAGTGCATCTCATCTCACCTTCTCAGCACGCAGACCATAATTGATGCCTTTAGTGTTCCAGCCTTTGGGTTTGTGTTGAAGTCAAACACTGGCTGTCCTGGGTCTCTAGTTTGCAGATGGCAAATTATGGGACTTCTTAGCCTCCGTAGTTGCATAAACTGACTCCCCATAACAAACCCCTTAGAGATGTTCTGCCTGTTCGGTGATTTGGTTTCTTTTTCTTCCTTTTCTTTCTTTTGAACCCCCTGAAAAGCACATAAGATTAAATACAAAAAACAATTTTTTCTTATTAGTTATATCATTTAAAAGATAGTTGACTGCTCAACCAAGAATAATAACAATGCATTGTGGGGTTTATAACATTTGTAAAATGAAATGAAGACTAGCAAGAGCATGAAGCATAGAAACGGGGGGACAAAGGCATGGCTGTACTGGACTCTGCTCCATTAAACAGTGCATTACTTTGAGGAAACCCATGATAAGCGAAAGTTGTTTGAGACCTATTAATGTGGTAAGCACTAGTACAAGACCTAGGTTATAGCTAGTATGCTGATAGATAAAATAGTTATAAACCTGCTGCCAGTACTCATAGCAACATTATTTTTTGTGGTCAGGAATTTAAGAGCAGTTTGAAGAACACAGTCTCTCTCTCTCTCTCTCTCTCTCTCTCTCTCTCTCTCTCTCTCTCTCTCTCTCCCCCTCTCTCTATATATACATATACACAC